AAACCCACTCCCACAGTGACATACTTCCTCCAACAAGGCCACACTTCCCAATAGTGCCCCTCCCTTTAGTAACCATTTTCTTTTAAAGCACCACAGTCTACTCCCTGTCCCCCAAAGGCTTGTAGCCATATCATAATGCAAAAATGCATTCAGTCCAACTTCAAAAGTCCCCACAGTCTATAATAGTCTAAAACTTATTTAAAATTCAAAGTCTCTTCTGAGATTCATGCCACCTCTTAACCATAATTCCTCATAAAATCAAAATAATCAGACCACATATTTACAATATATAATTGCACAGGATATTCATTACCATTCTAAAATATAGGGAAGGGAGCATAATATGGAAATACTGGACCAATGCAAGACTGAAAACCAGCTGGGAAAATTCAAAATTCTGCATCTCCTTGTTTGATATCAAAATGCTCTTCAGATCTCAGATCCTTTCAGATTTGTTGACTGCAACACACTTCTCTCTCTCTCTCAGGCTGGTTCCACTCCCTGTTAGCTGCTCTCCTTGGCAGGTATCCCACAATTCTGGCATCTCCAACATCTTGGGATCTCTAAGGCATTCCAGGGTTCATGAAACGGCCTCTCTAGTTCTCCATTCAGGGACATCCCTGACACATGCCTGTCCTCAGCAACTTTCCTTAGTCATAGAGGAAGATCCTGTTACCTTTTTTTCCTATCCTTGACTATAATCCAGAACCATATGAAGCTGCCAAGTTCTGCTGCTTGCTGGGGCTGGAACATGGCCTCCTTGTTCAATTATATCTACACCAGCTTTCTGTTTTTGATGGTTTCTTCCATGTCCAAATCTTGGCTATCCTGAATCTGGATCTCTAGATCAGACTGGCCCTAAACTCAGAGATCTGCCTGTCTCTTCCTCTGAGGTGCTGGGATTAATGGAGCACATCACCACATCCCACTCTAAGCTTTTCTTTAGCTGGATGGGATGTTGCCCTGAGGTCACCACCACTCTCTTAATTACATTATTTCTTCTTCTCCTCCTCCTCCACCTTCTCCTCCTTCTTCTTGGCTGTTACAATTTTTAGTCTAGTTACTCCGTGAACACAGGACTCAGCTCTGTTTCACTTGCTGGTACTCCTTTTGTCCTCAAACTGTACATTCTGTGTTTTTCCTTTCTCAACGTACTCCTTTTTCATTATAAATCTTCATTAGAGTTAACACTAGTAACCACATAACAGAGTGTATACTGGGCTGTTTTGAGATTTCCTCTGTCAACAGAATTAATCCAAAACTCTTTACTTTAGTCTCAGGCAGACTTCTCAGACAAGACCAAAAAGCAGTCACATTCTTCACCAAAATATCACAAGAACGATCTCTAGGCAACATACTAAAATTCTTTTCTAAAACCTCTTGAGCAAGGTCCCCACAGTCCATTAAATCACACTCAACACCACTGTCTTCTATGCTTCTACAAGGAAATCCCATTAAGCAGCACTTAAAGTATTCAATAGCTTTTCTAATCCACAGGCCCATAGTCTATATTTCTTCAAGCAAAATCATGGTCAGGACTATCACAGCAATACCCCAATCTCCGGTATCTACTTCTGTCTTAGACCTTCTGTTGCTGTGAAAATACACCATGACCACAACAACTCTTACAAAGGAAAGCATTTAATTTGGTGGTTTATAGTTTCAGGCGTCTTAATCCATCATTATCATGGTGGGACATTGTGGCATGCAGGCTGAAGAAAGAGTTGAGAGTGAAGAAGGAGTTACATCTTGATCAGCAAGCAACAGGAAGTGATCTGATACACTGGGTGTTGCTTGGGCATATATGAGACCTCAAAGCCTGCCTCCACAGAGAAATACTTTCTCCAACAAGGCCACACCTACTCCACCAAAACCATAATTTCTAATAGTGCCACTCCTTTTTCTCCAGTGTACCAGGCCTGAACTGCTCTGAGCCTGGTTCTCACAGCGGGCAGCCATCAGCTAGACCTCACTCCTGTCCACCTGCTTTGCTCCTCTGTTCACTTCTAGCCCCTGCTCCTTTTGTCATGCACAGCCATGCAGGCCCTGTGTGGGATTCTGAAGACTACTCTTCTATAGACCCAGATCCACCCTTCATCCTTCCTGGCAGACAAAGTGCTCCTTTGGAAACACATATTGGAGCCCCCTCCTTTGATAAAATGCTTTTGTTTTTTTCTAGTAACACCTAGTTAGATCTGCCCACCCTCTCGTCCTTCTCTCTCAAATGGTCTTCTTATACTGTGATTCTACAGCAATCATTAGAAGTTTGAATCTCAGTGTCTTTATTCAGATGGCTCCCTCCCCTGCTCCTCAAAGGCAACTTGAAATAGAAAGCAGGTATATACTCATTTTCTTCCAATTCAATGAAGAAACCAATGAAAGATGCCTAATGAAAAACCCAGACAAAATTTCCCAAAGGATCTTCTGATGTTTTCCCTCTCTAGGCATGAAGGAAATCAGAGAGATCCAATTCCCTGGTCCTTTTGTTTGTTTGTTTGTTTGTTTGTTTGTTTGTTTGAGACAGGGTTTCTCTGTGCAATAGCCTTGGCTGTCCTGGAACTCACTCTGTAGACCAGGATGGCCTAGAGCTAACAGAGATCTGCCTGCCTCTGCCCTCTCAAGTGCTGGGATTAAAGGCGTGCACCACCATCTATCACCTGGCTAATTTTCTAGTCTCAGTCACAGAGTTTTTCTGCTTTTCTCCTGGCAGAAGCTATCATGCTACAGGTCTTATTCTGGCAGGGGGCAAAAGCACATGGAGATTAGCTAGGGCCAGGGCAGTAAGGGCTACTCACTTGTCAAAGATGAAGTAAATATCAAAGTCACCATCACAATACTGCAAAACCTCATCCTCATCTTCCTCGTTAGTCTGCCTCGACTTCCAGTCTTCATAACCATAGAAGATATCAGAGTCCTCCTGATAGGCGTGGCCAGATTGAGGGTACAGAAAGGTGTGAACTGCAACAACTGGCGGCAGCAGCAGGAGCACCAAATGAGACACCTGGTGACTAGGGTCTTGCATTTTTTTTTTTTTTTTTTTTTTTTTTTTTTTTGGCTGATCCTGTAAGTCTACTACAAAGGGGGACTTCCGGTCAGAGTCTATGGGGGCTGAGTTCTAGCCACCCAACTGCCTTCTGTGCTGCCTCTGCCTGCACTTAGGGACAAAAGCACTGTGCCCTCTCTCCTCACCAATGCTCACTGCTGCTCTCTACTTGGTGGCCTCAGAACACAGACTGGGGATGTAGCTGCCCTAGGGCACCCTGCCTCTCATTGCCTGTGTAACCCTTCCCCCAGGACCCTGGCTGGGGTTATGATGGACAGGGAGGTTGACATGGTGACTTTGTGACCTGCCCCTTTGCCCAATGCCTTCATGTTGACAGTGCCAAGTGGCAGTCATAGGACTGAAACCTTAGTAGGGGTTTCTGATAAGGCCTCCTTATCCCATATCACAGCTCCTCACTGAGGTCCTTAGGGGCCACCTCCAGGAACCCAGACATTTGTCACTAAGAATGTAGCAGAGGTTGTGAGATTACCAGGTCACCAGGGGTAAGGGGGGCAAAGGACCACCAGGAGGGCAAGTGTGTGCCATCAAGTAAGCCAGGCAGTACCAAGGTCTAAAAAGGGATGGAGATTGTGTGCTGCTGTCAGCATCCTCTGTATATGGGAATAGTCCAGTCATCTACTGTCGTGTGACAAGTTGTCTCATCTGGTGGCTTAACACAGAACTATTTTATTGTGCTCACAAATTCCATGGGGAATGTGTTGTGAGACCCCTTGGGAGTGTGGAGTAAGAGGGTGCTTGTGACAGGGCTCCTGGGAAGACTTCAGCTCTGAGGTAGGACTTGTGTGGTGGAGGCTGAAATTATCTGGAAGCTTCTTCACTGGAGGATCCAAAGGCTTATCTGCCCTTTTATCCGTGGCTATCTATGACTTGGACATCTTCACAGTGTAGCATCAAGAGGAGAGGACATTCCTGCTGGAGGCTCAGAGCTTCATGAGTATCTGCAGTGAGCAAGGTCAAAATGTGGGACCCTTTATGACATCACTCATATCTGTAGGCCAGAGCTCCTGCAGCAGAGGAGGTTCAGAAACAAGGGCACAGCCCTCAGCTCTCAAAGGATTGTGGGTAGGCTTGGCCTACCATGACCCCGCTGCTTCACAGCACTTGCAGCAGAAGAGGGGATAGGTTACAGGGAGACAGTTGCATCTGAAAATGTTTCAGAGTCTTCCAGCTGAGGGCAAACATGCTTTGTTTCCATCGTTTTATATTCAGGAAGGCAAATCTGATAAAGTTGTTCTTATAATATATACAATGTGCAAATGCCTTACAGCACACCACATTGTGTTTCAGGAATTATTTGGAATAACAGAATAGCTTGAGTGTTTAGTGATATACAATTCATGAAACTACATCAGCTCAGCTCATCATGGTTCTCCTGACTCACATCTAAGAAACACATCAGGGTCCAAGTAGGAGAGAAACTTTAGCCCAGGTGCCACTAAGGAAGCTTCCAGACAATCCTGAGTTCTGCCTCTAAAACCCTTCCCAAGGAGCCTCATCCTGAAATATACTCTATCCTTTCTGAGGGCCCCACCCTGCAAATTCAGTAAAATGGTTGTTAAGACGCCAAGGTTGTGTGGCTTGTCACATGGCAGTAGATAACTGGACTTTCCCTGGTCACAGGAGATTGTGACAGGAGGATGTCATCTCCAACCCCTTGTAGATTTTGCCAGCACCTGGCTGACCTAGGGACCCACAAACAGCTTCCCAATGCCCACTTCCCCACTAGTGATGACCCATGATCTTGGACACTTTGAAACGCCATCTCAGCTAACAAAATGTCTGGATTCCTTGGCTATGTGAGGGACAAGGTTTTATCTGACAACAAAGGTTCTGTGACAGCTACTTGGCACTGCCAGCATGCAGGACATTGAGCAGAAGGGAAGGTCACAAAGTCACCATGTCAACCTCCCTGCCCATCATAACTTTAGAATGTTGGGGAAAGAACTATGCAGGCAGTGAGAGGCAGGGTACCCCCAGAGCAGTTATGTCCCCGGCCCCTATACTCTGAGGCCACCAAGTGGACAGCAGCAGTGAGCATTGGTGAGAAGGCACAAGGGCTATCGTCCCTAAGTCCAGGCAGTGGCAGCAGCAACAGAGAAGGAAGTCAGAGGTGGCCTGTGGTCCACCTCTCTGGGACCTTACAAAGACCACCAAGAAAATGCTGGGCTGCTGCCCCCAGATACCTCAATCTGTGTCCCTCCTGTTTGCGTTACTTCCATCACTGCTCAGCACGGGGAACTCCCTGTACCAGTACCCTGACTGGGAATACTACCCTGGGCTGGGCTTAGGCTCCAGAAATTTCCACCACCATGAAGACCAGAACCTAAGACATAGGTGGCATCGAAGGAATTCGAAGGAGGAACCATGCCAGGCCACCCCTGACATCTACTTTGTCCTGGATAAGTGAGTGGCTTTTCCTTACAAGGAACACTGAAGGCACCACCATCTCCAGGGGCCGTGGTGGTCAGATCCTACCTTCTGTGACTGACTTGTTTCCTAAACCAGGGAGGTCATCACAGTGCTTCACAGTGGCTCTATCCATAGCGTCTTCCCCCAATATGGATTTTCATTATCCTCCAGCCCACTAGCTATTGGGAGCTGACTTCTCAGCCCTGTGAACAACCCACTCAGGGGCTCTGTAGGGATCATTGCTGACACCAAATGGCCTTTTCTTAGCTATCCTAAGCAGTCAACTACTTTCTCCTACTTGAAGAGCCAGAGACAGCCCCTGAACTGTTTGCCTCAGTGTGGCTTTGGGTAGGCTGGCCTAGTCCTTCAGGCCCTCTTGGCTGTCAAGGGAAAGAAGAGGTGGTGGGCCTAGGTTGAGATAGCTAGCCTGGACTCCTTTCTCTGAACTTCCTGGCAGGCTAGGGCTGTATTTTCTGCCAATTCAACCAGAGCCAGATTGGGGAAGCCATGTCTGGGCTCCCTTGAATGTCTGTGTCTTCAAACATCCTGGGCTACAGAGGAGCTTAGTTAGAGCTTCTATTTTGGAGTGTACTCTTGAGTTAGCAAGGTGGAAAACACACTTGGTGGTAACAATATCAGGCTTCCTGGGCTCTGGTGACAAGACTGGGCTCTGCTCATCATTTTGGGCTTGGATCATCTCATTTCTCTCATTCTCCTTGAACACTGGTGGGCGAGTACACATGGATCTAGCCCCTTGTTTCTAAGCTGGGCCAGCAACTTACGGAGCCTTCCTAGTCAAACACAGGCCTCCTCTCTGTCCAGACCAGGAACAACAAAATCAGTGGGGACATCCAGTCCCTTTGATAGTTAGCACTACTAGGGAGGGCATTTTCCCTTCAGTTTTAGGGCTAGCTGATAATGGACCCCATGGAGCTTTGGGGCTGACAGCCTGGTTGAGCCAGTCCTTCTACAGAGTGGTCCTTCTAGCTGCCAACCTGCTGTATTTGTCCCATCTAATTTTCTAGGTCCCCACTGTGGGGTGTAAAACGGAATGAACTCTTTGCTATGATGGATAGAAAGGCCTATGGACACAGATGGGGATGTGAAACATCTAGTTATGCAGCCTGTTAATGTGCCATGTTCACTTGCACAGCCTGCTGTTTTACAAGTGAATGAAGGTAAATTTAATGTTCAGCACTATATTGAGTATCACACCTCAAGGCACCTATCCAACTCTTCACTTCTGATCCCAATCCCTCAAGGCCATAACACACAAGTGTAAATCTTTCGTACTCATGTTCTGGCCTTGTTTGTGCTCACATGATTATAACTAGTACCTTCTGTTAGGTTTGAGGTTTATAGTTCCTCTAACTAATGGGAAAGAGCATTTAGCTTTTCCACAGCTTGGTTTTCCTGAATGACACTGTCACACCCCTTTGTCCCCATCATGCTTAAATGACTGTGACTAGGTCTCAGATGTTAGCAAGAAAGGTCTCCCTCAGATGCCAGGGGATCACTGTTTCATTTAAGGATGAGTGTTGGCACACAATTAGCAATGTTCTGGAAGTTCTAGGCCCCTGAGTGTCATAAGGTCTTTGTAGCCATTGTTTTTGAACCCTCAATTTGTCTTGAGTTCTGGAATCTAGACCCTCCTTCTATAATCTCAGATTGAAAACTTTTAGAGTCCATGAGCAGGATAGATATGCTGGGTCCTCATGAGCCTTTGTGGGAAGGCACTCTTCACAGAGGGACAAAAACAGAAAGCCACGTCACCTCCTGTTAGGGAAAATGACCCATCTGGCACATTAGTCTCGGAGCTTCCCAGAATGAAGTCTGTTTGGAGTTCAGTTTTCAGAGTCAAAGCCTAGTTATTCACAATGGAGATGAGGTGTACCAGAAGCAATAGCAGTACATGGGATTCGGAGAAAGTTCTAGATTCACCCATTGTTGCTGAGAATACTGAAAAAAAAAAAAAAGCAGCTCTACATTTCAGTGCTTTGTTTTTTGTTTTTGTTTTGTTTTTTTTGGTGTTGTTGTTGTTTTGTTTTGTTTTTTGTTTTGTTTTTTGTTTTTTCTCTGTTGTAGAGATTAGCTAATATGGGGTTAATCTGTAGGTTTGTGAGTACCCCGAGGGTGATAGTCTTGCTAGTGTTAGGATCATCTAGTAGTGAGTTTGCCCATCATCTCTACACAGATTTCAGCAGGACAGAGGCTGTAGGACACCATTCTTTGGCGTGAACTATGCTTGACAGGATTGAGAATCACCCAGGAGACATCCCTCAGGGCTATGCCAGCCTCAGATACACTGCATAGCACTGTTCAGACTTCAGAAGGAATAGATGACCATTGAGCTCTCCCCACGCATCCCCAGACCTGAAGCACGTTTTGTCTCTTCCTTGACCAGACCAGTAAAGCTGTGGATTACAGCTAACGTTGTTTCTGGAATGTGGGTCAGAGGTCAAAAGCCCTTTTCTTTCACCTGCTTGCTTTCCATCCAGGGACTGATGAGGGAAAACTGGAGGCAGGGATTTGAGAGTCAGAACTGGAAGACCACAGCTATCATGAGGACTGGGGACTATGATGTCATGACAGCCATGACTGGACCTCCACCTGCACTTTCCTAACCCTGTCTGCTGGAGGAGCCCTTCCTAGCCCAGGGTGGCTGGGTTGTAGAGGCTGGTTGAAGGCTAGGCTCTAAAACAGACTTGCGCACCCAGCAGCCATAGCTAAGGCCCATCTCCCAGAGAAATCCTCTTTTTGGATGCTGGGAAATGTGGGGGAATGTGGCAACAGGAATGCCATGAGAAAGTGTGCAGGTGGCACACAGGTTTGAAAAAGGATCTGCATATGCTGGGGCAGATCTGATGTTTAAGAACTCCAAGTATAACAAAGACAATACAGCCCAGGCCTGAGCCATCCTGTGGGCCTGGATTATGGCATTCAAGGACTTCTAACAACAGTGGTGCTAAGTGATAAAAGAGGGCTGGAAACAGAAAACCAAAGGCAAGTGGGGAGCCCAGACAGACTACTTACAAGCACTCAGGGCCTTTTCCAAACTAGAGACCCTTTCCTATTTGAAGACGACACAGTCCTTACTTTGGTGTGCTCAGCCAGCCACACCAATGAGCCTCTAATATGGAGTCTTCCAGTCCCACCAGATGGGACTCTTTAGCCACCCTCTGCCCATTGCCTGCCCTGGAGAGATCTACCTCTCAGGCTGCTCTAGTGTGGTAGGCACCATTGGTGTAGAGGTGCTAGTTAAGAAAGCCCATGAAAGGCTGGGAAGGGAGGAGGGGAGCAAGTCTACTGGCATCCTGTATCCACTGAGGGATCTCTCTTTTATCTGTCTTCAGGTCTGACAGCATGTTACATGCCTGGGTGCACTTTAACAAGTTCGTGGTGGATATGGTGCAGAGGCTGTCAAAGTAAGACTTGAAACTGCAGGCTCCTTCGTGATGCACAGGGTGTGTCCTGCCATGCAGAGGACACATTTCTTGGACTTGGGAGGTGCAACAATTCCTCATAGAGGGAGCACAGCCCCCCATTGGTGTGCTGAGCAGGGCAAAGGACACAGTACACTGGTCCCATGGGGTGTCTTCAGGATTGACTGATCCTGCCTAAAAGTGAAGTGTAGCATAGGGACAGAGTCCACCCTCTAGGACCCTTCAGGCTTCAAGGCCCAGGAAGACAGGGATACCAGTGACTCAGTAACTAGCACTTTGTGACAGAGTGCTTCAGGCAACAAGCCATGAAAGCATAGGAAAAGGCAAGGATTCCTAGAGGAAGGTTATGGTGGTTTCCAAAAGGATGTGGAAATGTGATAATGTCAGTGACAGAGAAGATAAGGACAGAGCAACCATTAAGGTGATCACAAGAAAGTCGATGGTCTCTGAGGCTGATAAGTGATGGTAAACAGGGAGGGCTGGTCAGCCTGGAAACAAGAGCATAGGGACTTGCTAAGCCAGGCCAAGGGTTTTATATTATCCAATGTGAGCTACTGGGATGGGGGCCATACAAGTTTTATGGAGATTGGAGGAACAAGATCAAGACTGAGATTCAACTGAGTCAACTGAACTCCAGGTGGGTCTCTGGGGATACTTGATAGATGGTTTTCTGAGGGTCAGAGATACTTGATGGATGGTTTTGTGAGAGTCACTAGACATACTTGATGGATGGCAGAGAGCAGTGGGCAGGGAGAAAGGGAAGCCAGAGGAAGAGCAATTCCTTGGAGCCTGGCTGAGAAAGTTACAGTAGACAAGAGTTGAGGAGGAGGGGGGATCCTATGTAGGATCTTGCTTATCCAGCATGGGTGGGTGTGTATATGAGTCTGTGTGTATGAGTGTGAGCACATATAAGTGTGCATGCGATTGAGCACAGGAATGGAGGGGGGGTTGATTTGGTTGCCTTTCTTTCTCAGGGGTCACATTTATGTAGAGTTCAGAATCTGTCATGAAATTTACCCAACATCCCTATGCCTACTCGATAAGACCTCAAAGGTGAAGGGATGAGAATAGGGAGAGGAGAATTTTGTTTGAGTACCTTCCTCGACATCCTGATGATATCATGTTGAGGTGGTAGCTTCTCATAAGCACCTGCTTCCTCCCAGCCAGGATCTGCGAGTGTCCCTCATCACCTTCTCCTGTAAGGGCACCACCATCCTGCCCATCACTGGAGACAGGTAAGTGTTTATATGAAGGCTGACTGAGGCTTTGTGTTTCAGGCCTCCATGAAACTGAGGGCTTGCAGAGACCTCCGTGAGGTCTCCTACAGGTGTCCACAGTATCTGTCGCTGCATGCCTATGTATTGATACTCCCTGCTAACTCTATCCTGCCAACCCCTCACATTCACTGGAACCTATAATGTGCTTCCAGAAGTTCTCTACTTTCTTGCTTGTCTGCCTTCCACCGGTCATGATTCTTTCCTGGGACTGGCTATGACAACACATGGGGTTGAGGAGCAGGGAGCAGATATGTGGATTAGGGCTGTGCAGAAGTCTAGGAAACCCTAGCTTTTCTGCCAGGCCCACTGAGTGAAAGAGGGAATGTCCCACACCTATGGAGATGACAGCTCCAGTTCATCTGGAAAAAGAAACAGGGTTGCTGGCTACAAGAGTCCAGGAAAGATCTGATGCACCATGTGGCTTGGGCTTGGAGAGACCCAATTGAGTTTGAGGTAGCAGAGAGAACATCTATGGGAAGGATTCCTGGAGGAAGCCTAGAGAGGCAGTAGGAGCTGGGCAGAAGGGCGGGGGGTTCAGTTGGGGTTGCAGGTTGTGATTTGACCCCACTAGGCCTAATGGGTGTTACCCTCATATGTCCTAGTCTGGGCTGGGTTAGGAAGTCTTCAGAGCTCAGATTAAGAAAAGATCTCTTTATCCCCAACTGTAAGTTCCCTTGCTGTGTCTATGCAGCCTTGTCACATCAGATTATCCTCATACCCCACTTCCTGTTAAAGAACAGCTTTCAGACCCAGGCCTGCCTGCCTCAGTGTGTTTTATGTGTTTTAACAGCACCTGATAGACCATGTTGCTCTAGCCCAGGGACCAACACAGATACCTCACGGACAGCCCTCAGGGCCCGACTCCCAGGTTCAGGTTTCTCTGTGGGTACCTTGAGCAGTCCACAGTTGGGCTTGGATCTAAGTAGACCAGCTGCTGCCTTCAGCAGCCTGGAAGAGTGACAGTGGACATGGGAGTTGGGCAGTTGTTCAGCTGGTGATATGGGCCCCTTCAGCCCTACCCACTGACTAACAGACTGCTCAGGATGGTGACCTTGGCATCAGGGTTCCAATTAGAAATGTGGGTCCTCATGAGAGTCCTTGGCTCTGACACTGACTGAGAATGTCTCCTGGCCTAAGCTGCATTTGTGCTCATGGGACCAAAGGCAGAGAAAGTCCTAGGGAAAGCTTGGAGACAATTTGTCGTTGTCCATAGTCTTCATGCCACCTTTATTTTTTATTGTTTTCAGGGAAGAAATCCATAAGGGTCTTAAAAGACTGAAGTATAGCATTCCTGCAGGACGTGAACATGTTTACAGAGGACTGTGGAACGTATGGAGGCTAGAACCACATATTCATCGAGTACCATGGGGTCATCTCAGAATGTCTCCCATTTTTCTTTGATTTCCTTGCAGGCAAATAAGCAGATAATAAAGGTCAACTCGGGAGGTGAGCTGCCTGCACTCTAGTTGTGTGGGTAGAGGTGCAGTTCTCTGGAAAGTCTGTGTGCAGATCCCTGGCTGCTTCTAGTGCTTATCTAATGTTAGAAAAGACCTGATGGTCCCTTCTCTGAACTCCATTGTTTGTGATGCTTCTGAGAAGGGTAGGAGGCCTCATATAGCTATGTGTGGTTCTCGATCATGCTGACATCTTTGGCCTACAGATGGCCCTGTGAATAGAAAGGAGAAAAGCACAGTGCCCTATGCATGGAGCCAGGGTTTGGTGTCCCCTTGGCTGCCAGATTTTCCTTTTTCAATTCTTTTTTCTCTTGACCTGTCTGTTACACCCATGTGTCAGGCCTGGAGTGTAGACCCATAGCACTTGTTTGAATAGGGAAGGACAGGTGGGGAAAGATTCTGTAAGGATGTGGAGTCCCTTTCCTAACACCTGACATGTAGTCTTGATACTGGGCCCAGCGTTACTACCAGGACACCTCTAGGGCTGTGCTCAGAGTTAGCACCAGCTTCCCCGACCCATCTTCAAGGATAAACTGAGTAGTGATGGGACTTTCCTGAGGGTGCAGCCAAATCCACCTCTATAGACTACTCCTGACCTCTGTGCCTCCTAATCTGTAGAGTAAGTGATGGACAAAGTTCCTTTTCCCTCTGGGAGTCACTGAATGGTTCTGTATCTGGGCTCCTGTTCCAAATGGCTAAGGGGTACTGCTGGACTTGACAGCCTATGGGGGTCCCAGAGGTTCTGCAGGCTACTCCTGGAACCTGAGGCACCAAGTCACTCTTGCTTTCCCTCAGGTGTCCAGCGTCCCAGCATGATTATCTCCTTGCTCAACAGCCCTCTGGATGATGATACCTATAAGTACTCGATGGGGGAGGTGAGCCCAGCCATCTTCAGCTGCATCTCCTCCATGTTGTATACGAGGGTGGTCTATATGTAACTCTTATATTTCTCTTAGGCTGATGATGCTAGGAAAATGGGAGCATCTGTATACACTGTGGGTGTGGGCCACTCAAAGAAAGCGCAGGTAACAGTCCAGGTGACCAGATGCCCCTCTGAGCCCCAGTTAAAGCAAGTCCTCCCAGAGGTAGTCATCTCATCTACCCTGGTGGTATGGGCAGCAGACAGCCACTGCCACAGGATGGTAAACATGATTGAGATGTTTCCCCAAGGTAGGGTGACCAGAAAGCTCACTGTTTCCAGCGCCTCGGCTGTGGGCAGAACCAGGGTCTGAGCCATGATTGAACCAGGTGGCTCCTGGCTGGGTGCTCAAATCACTTCTCTCTTTTAGGTAGTAGGACTTGCAGACAAACCAGAAAATGCATTTGCAAATAAGAAAGCTGAACACCTGAAGGACCTCATTTTCCCAGTGAGTGTACTGGTATAGGCAGTGGTGTGCCACTTGTATTACAGGGTTCCTGAAGCTTATTTTTCTGACCTTGTTTACTGCTCTCTATGTCCCAGCTAGCTTCCAAGGCCTGTCCGTCCCTTAAATCTTCAGATACAAGTATTATATGCATCAGAGGTAAGAGCTGAGGGCACCATTATAGGCAGAAAATACGTTGCATGCATGTGTTTGTGGTGTGTGGGTGATACACATACAAGGAGTATGAGTGCATATCAATTTCTGGATGGTGTATAAAGTTCTGCCTGTGTGTGGTTTATATGAGTGTATATTCTGTGTTTATGTGTTTTTGTGTTATTATATAATGCATTTTATGTATAGATTTCTTGTTCTGCATATGGTACATGGAATGTATATTTGAATGTATTGTGTGTACAAGGACCATACGAATGTTACAATATGGATAAGTGTGGTTATGTATATATGTGGTAATGAGCATGCATGGAGTAATCATGATTTAGATATAGTGTACTGTACATTTTGAAGGTACATGCTGTGATGACATAGCAACATGTGTACAATTACTGCTTATTTATCTCCTAACAAAAGTGTAATTGTTAAGCTAGAAAAATGGTACAAAACTCTTAATGAAACCTGGACGGAGCCACCAGTCCATCCAGAGAAGCTTGGTTCCTTCCAGAGGAGCCAAGTGTTCAACACTCACAAAATGAGGACAGTAGTGTGGCAACCACATTGAGAGACGACAAGAAAGAACTGGGAACAGAAGACAGCCACTATGTTACTAGAAGCATAGGGGACTCTCTGTGTCTACAGAAATGTCTACAAAGACAGCCATGTTCACTTCACCTCAGCACTGAAGTGGTAGATTTTTGGCCCCAAGGATTGAGACTAACAAGAGGGACACCTGTCCCTTCCAGCCTCTCCAGGTCAGCTTAGAGAGGTCACATATTTGTAAGTTCTTGGGAGAGCTGCCTCTCTTGCTCAGGATCACGGTATATTCAGGCTTGGTCTCCACATGGCTGGCATTTGTATCCCGAAAAAGAAGGCAGGACAGGGAGGTCTGAGTTGCTCTGCTTCCCTTAGTCTAGACAGCTGGATTCTGACATCTGTGTCCTCCTCCCATGGAAGCCCATGGCTCTTGGCTTGGGCAGACAGGATAATGATCACATCTGAGCTCTGCTACCCAGGACACTCAACTGAGGACAAAGTGCTGCTCGTCAGAGGGGCTACAGTGTGTCCTGTGGCGGGAAGAAAGAAATGACATGCACAGGCTGTCAATGATGTTAGGGACAATGGATAGAGAGGTGACAGGTGCAGCGTCTAGAAGATGGCAGGTGCTAAAGACAGAATCTGAGCCTGATATTTCTATGTTGGTACCTTGTCCTTCCCCTGTTGTGTAAGAGAGAGGAGACTGCTGTGTGGAGAACTGAAAGGGATGCCCCCCACTTCCTTACAGGCTCTCTTCTGTTTCTGGGTAGAGGAGCCCAGCCCTGCAGCCTTCCTGTGTGTTTCTAATTGTCCTGTGGACAAAAAGGCCTTGGTGTCTGGACATCTGTGACAAACCCCAGATGAAAACATAAGTTGTCTCCAATGAGATAGGTGCCTCCAGACATCAGTTCCACCACAGACCTGTTAAACCGTTGGCCTGCCACATACAGAGTGCCGGTTGTTTGGAGGGAAGTCCGAGACAGAATGCTATACCCCAAAGGAAGCAGAATGGGCTGTTTCCCCGGATAGCACTGAGTCAGCCTGTGTTCCAGGGAATCTGAAGAGGCAGGAGAGTCCTTGGTTAGCTACCCTTGGGTATCTGAAGTGCACAGGACACAGGGATGAGCTAGATCTGGGCCCTTAGGCAGCTGGACAAGGTCACAAGCTAGGGAAATCCTACCTGGCTCCTTTGGGAACAGCCAGCCTGCCACCTACTCTGTGTCTCTTGTACACTGGTATCAGTGCCAGTGTTCATCTTCACTGCTGTGAGGAAGGGCTTGTCAGCAAGCTGGAAACAATACGGATGCTGGTTCACACACAGACTCTCCCTTGTTGGAGGCCAGTAGGAAATTCCATTTCAGGGAGTGGAGAGCCCTGAAAAAGCAGATCAGAAAGAAGGAAGCACCAGCTCTAACTGTTCAAATGCTGTCCTTACAGAATCAAACCCTGTGGTACTTCGTGGATATGGCTTTGACTTTGTCATGCATAAAGAGGAGGTTATTTGCAGGTTCTATTTAAGTGACATAGATGGGAGTTTCAGAGGTAAGTGGGGTCTACTTCTCTCAGTCAAGTCTCCCCAACCTCATTGCTGGACACAGGAGTAAGTTTATAAGTGACAAGTACCCTGGATGGGATGCCTGAGATGCCACCTCCTTCGCTGGCACTTTACCAGCACTCCTTTAAACTTACCACATACAAAAGAAACCTCATGTTCTTATTCTTTAGTCTCTGCCCTACATTTATCTAATTCTTATACATTTTTGTTACTTGACAACCTTTTACTATATTCCTCATTTTAAATCATTTCCTTTCCTTCTTCAAACTTCTCCTATCTCCCTAGGCCCTGTTCCTCTCAAATTCCAGGCCTTCTCCTCTTTGCTATTGTTACACACTCATAGATACAGCCTGTGCATGTGCACAGTTCCAGGGCTGAGCCCTTGGCATTGGATAATCACATAGGTGCTCCCGAGTGGGAGACTCTCCACCCTCCTACTCAGAATCCCTTAGGTGCCTATAGCTTTTTGTCTTGGCTGGTGTATAGTAATTTTTTCCCTTCTGTTTTTCCTTTCTACTGTAGTTTTAGCAATATTTTGACTTCATTTTTTAAACTTCAGAATTTATATTTTCATGATTTAATTTTTTTTCTTACGTTTAATTGTAATATTATTTCTAGTTTTCTCATTTTGGGGAAGTTTGCTTGTTTTTTTTTTTTGTTGTTGTTTTGTTTTGTTTTGTTTTTTTTTTACTAATTTCATGCTATTTTCTTCTTCCTTGCCCATACTTTTCTTCTCCTCTCTCTACTTATTTATCTTTTCACTTTTATAAAAATCTCCCTTTTTCCCATTTCCCTGTCTGAGTCCCTTATCTTGTTTACTGTATCCACACTTATCCAAAACAGTGAATTTTTTTTCAGCTATGACTAAAAATGAAATCATGCCATTCTTCAGGAGATCATCATGCTAGGCAAAATAATCAAGATCCAGAAAGACAAATACCACATGTTTTCTCTCACAGATGTGTGTGTGTGTGTGTGTGTGTGTGTGTGTGTGTGTGTGTGTGTGTGCGCGCTCATCTGCACACTTAGCTTATGTTGGCCTGCTTCTACTGATGTTGAGGTGCTGGGCAGTGTTGGGGCCTACCAGCAGTCTTTGGATTGGAGAAAGTAAAGAGAAGATTGCTGCTTATTGGTCAGCTCTGCCGAAAGAGTGTGACAATGGTGGAAAGGACACATCCTTGGCAATTTTTGTCATTTTCTTTTAGATGTAAAAGCCATCAATTTAACCAAGACTACCGTTACTTGCCCTGGACCAATCGTGGAGTTACCAGGAAAGTAAGTGCCCCTTGTTGGAGGGAAGAGGTCAGTGGTCAGTGTTTGCCAGTATAGTGTGAGACATAGGATGTCTCCTCTGCTGTAGAGCACCTATCTGCCTGCAGGTGGGCTCCAGTACCCTCCCTCCTGTCCCTCACTGGTGCTGAGTGGCAGGCTCTACTGAGGGCAGGATGTAGGAGATGATGAGCCTGATGGCCAGAACATGTCTCTGACCATCTCTCTGGTACAAGCCAGTATGGTGATATCAGGCACATCCCCCTAATGCCTTAGCTTGATGCCTTAGTTCAAAGGCCATGTGATTTGGTGCCTCTCACAGTCTAATCTGCAGTCCTTCACTGTCATTGCAGAGGGTCACTCCTAGTTCCTCTGGAAATGAGCTCTCTTTGCCCACAAGTCCACTCTCCAGCACTTGGGAGTGCCTGAGATTTAGTATAACCACAAGAAGAACTGTGGGGTTATTTCTTAAGCCAAGCCCAAGATCCTTGTCACCAGTGTCTGTCTCTGTGTTAGAGTGATCTATGTTCTACTCAGCCTGGACAATGGAAGAAACTTCATGAATAACAATGTATTCGTTGCCAGCAAGCCATGTGTGAGTACCAGGGTGGGGTTGCAACCCCAACTGTGCAGACCCTCTGGTTGGTGCAGAGCTACCTGGTAGGTACAGAGGGCAGCCTGTACACACAAGCAACTTAGGTGACCCAGTCCAGTATCCAGAAGGGCCAATGAGGCATGTCCCTGGCTGTCTGCCAGGGTCTGCTCATGATGTCTAGGGCATGTGGCCCTTCCACATGAGGGTTTTAGGTCCAGGAATACACGAGTCCACTCTTGCAGTTAAGGTGTATGCGACAAAGAATTGGAGCCCTGGCCACTAGTGTGGCTCCACGCATACTCTCTACTCCCTACCTTCAATCATGTTTGGTGACACCAGAGACAAGTGCAGTGTGACTGAAGGGTGTGTCCTGGAAAAGGGTTCTCTTGGCTTATAAGAAGCCCATGGAATTGAGTGGCATATTTGGGGTTTGCCTGGCTCATCCCTGATGTCCACACAGTCTCAGATTTCTGCTCCTTCAGCCCTCGCCCACTAACATTGTCAGACAAATGCAGTGAGGCAGAGAAGCCCCATGTCTTCAGCAGCCAGCAGCAGCTATCATTACATCTCCCCACTGGTCTCTGCTTTCAGTCAGGTGATCACAGGGTCTACGCACCTCCTCCCAGTGATTTCCACAGCCTCTGACTCAGTAGGGTTGGGCAGGCTGCTGCCCATGCTCAGAGGCAACTGGGAGAGCAATCCTGATCCTGAGATTCTGTGGCCTGAGCCTGAGCCAGAGACAGGACTGTGAACTCTTACCTTGTCAAGTGCCCATGAAGGTGGGCACTGTTTTGGTTGCAAAATGTGGAGTTGGGAGGTGGGCCCTGCAGTCTCAGGGTTGCAGCCTCTCCCAGAGATTTGGTCACCCATAGTGCATTTTCCACTGAAGCCATTGTGAAGGCCATAATCCTTAGATCACAGAGGATCCTGGGCCATCCTTACCTTGGCAAAAGCCATGGAGCAGGGCCAGAGGTAGGATAGCCTTGTGAGAAGCCCAACAATTAGAGAGAGAATGAGAAGCCAAGCTGCAGATACCAAGGAGGGCCTTGCGCAGTTGCCCTGGGTCTCTGCAGGATGTGCAGGTGGCAGCACAAACCCTTTGCCTACCACAGGGTGCAGTCCTCTACACAGTGCAAACCACCACCACTACAACCACTAGGAGGCCCACAACTAAAACAACACGTACGACAACTACAACGACCACCACAACCCCTTCTACCACAACAACTACAACTACCACGACAACGCTACCAATGGCCACTGAAAGCCCCGCCACCATCCCATTGGTCACAGAGGAACTGAAGCCAAGCAGTGATAAATTCATTTTCGCCCCTATTCTCCTGGCCCTGCTGCTGACTCTGTTGCTGATTGGTTGTTTCTGGCAGCTGTGCTGCCTTCCCGTGAGTGCCCCTACCTGCTCAGTCTGGAGACCAGGAACATATCCTTCATCCAGGAGGTATAGATACAAGGTAGCACCATGATACTAGGGATGACAGAGCACAGAGACAGAGATGACAGGTCCCATCTCTATCCAGGTGAGCAGACAGTAGAGGAAGCCAAGACCAGCATGGAGGTCAGGGGAGACTGCAAGACACTGGGCTTCAGTCAGAGGAGGGGAGGGGTGTGGGCTCTACTGCAGGCGGGGCTACAGCAGATATGCAGTAATTCGGCTGTTGGGGTCCTCCAGAATCAGCACCGTGACCCAGCTTATCACTTGGCACCTGCAGAGAAGGGTGGGTGCTTAGTAGATCAGGTGTGGCCTGCTGAACACAGCAGCCCAGGCATGGGCACCTGAACCGGATTACAGAATCTGTGCGTCCCTGCTCCAGATCAGGTGTCCCTGACAGCAGAGCTGATGCAGAGGCCATTCTACACACACCAGCTTCTTTTGTCTGTTTTACCCTCCAGCCTGTCGAGGAGCTGCCCCCACCTAAGCCCCAACCACAGGTAAGTCATGCTTTGGATGCCGACACTGTCACATGCCTAAACGCAATGACCTTCCAAAGAGGGATCAAGGACCTGTCTATTCAGGAAGGAAGAGGGCAGAGGATTTCAGAGGGTCTAGGAAGGGGCTCACAGTGACATCACTCAGACTTTTAGGGCTTCCTGACTTTGGCCACACAAACAGCACCATGGAGACCTGTTTCATGTGAGCTGTTTGTCCTGATTCAGTGGTTTCCGGGGACCTCAAAAAACTCTGTTTGATGTTGAGGTTGCAACTAGGCTCCTGAGAACAGGCTTCTCTGTCAAGCCCTGGGCCACATCCCCATGTTGGAGGTCTGCTTACTCATTAGCTCTGTCTTCATCCCCATCACCTGGCAGGATAGAGGGGTTGGCTGGGATCAGCCTAGGAAACTGAGGAATAAGGAGGTTGAGAGTCCGAGCTGGCCCTGAGCTGTGAGAGATATCTCCAGGGAAGCACAGGAACAAGGTGTATGAGCATCTATGGCTCACACTGGGTAAGGGTCAGAAGTCATAGTGAGATACTGAGGTAGGTGGAGCCTGGGTTTGGGTTTCCTTACATGATGGGACTGTCCTGGCTGCAGAGTGACCTGGGTGAGAATGCCTAAGCAAAGGCCAGAGACAGATGGAAGGGATGGCTACCTGCTCACTGTAGAGCAACCAGGTCAGGCTTCTGCCAGCCAGACTGGCCTCGGAAGTGGGGTGTTATTACTTCATTCTGCTCCATATCTTTTCTTCCCATGGAAGACCTCCCTCAGTTGTGGAATACATTCTTCCACCCACCCCAAAACAATAACTGAGTGGCCCCACAGGGCCAGCAGATGTGCAAAGCACAGACAGGGACCAGATGGTATTTCCTCTCCTATCAGCCCAAAGAGAAGAAAGAGCTCTCTGCTCTAGTGTCTCCCCCAGCACCAGCACCAGCCGTAAATCCGTCTCCTATTGTGATCGTCTGCTGCTGCACCTGTGGGGGCCTGTGTGTGAGCAGGGACACAGAGGTGAGAGGGCCCCACAGGGGCTGTGATTGCAGCCTGCCTGGGTGTGGGAGGCTGCATCTCTAGTGAATAGGATCTGAACGATATGTGTCTGAGAACAACCACATGTAGTCCCTCCCTTGTCCTAGGGAGAAGAGCATGCAGGGGGGAACCAGACCACTTGTCCTCTTCCAGCTCCTGCCCTCCTCTTTGCCAGCATCCCAGTTTTGGGACTGTGTTGGGGAATATTAATTTAACTATGTAAAGATATGTTACATTTGTTTATGGAATGTTTGTTTAACTATATAAAAATAAGTTGCATTTGTTTACCTTACTTGTGAAGGCACATGATTGGTCTCATAAAGGCAAACGGCCAATAGCTAGGCAGTAGGTATAGAGATTCAGTAGGAGGAGGAATCTAGGTTTGCCCGATGCAGTGAGAGAAGGAAAAACCAGGGAGATGCCAGGAGGAGACCACCAGATGGCCAGCCACAGAGAAAGCAGGAAATCAGGATATACAGAATGTAAGAAAGGTAAAATGTAGATGAAAACAAACAGAATAAATTAAGTTGTAAGAGCTAGTGAGACAAGCATAAGCTAAAGGCTGAGGGTTCATCGTTAATGAGAAGTTTTATGTTATTTGGGAGCTGGTGGAAGACCCAAAGAAAATTCAAGCAACAGGACAGTGGCTACTGCCTTATCTGGCCAGTCTCCTGTCCTCATGTCATTTTCTTAGCTCTGACTGTCTCTGAAACAGGTAGATAAGTTAAGCTTATCTGAATGACGGGTGTGTAAACTTAGGGACAATAAAAAGAAAGAGCAGTCCCTAAACACACTTGCCTACCATGAACACTGACTGGCTATCTCCATTTTCTTTGGGTGTGTGGAACAGAGTTGAGTCAATGGTTCTAATACCAAGAGGGGACAAAGGGTTATAGGTTGACAAGGAGATCATAATGAGTGTCACAAAACACCAACATAGAGTTGATCTCTGGTGGGCAGTCAGTCCAAGCCTTCTTTCATCTAGGAAGTCCAGGTCTGAAGGAGGGGAAAGTTGGCCTGGGAGTAGCCTGGGCTCTCACCTGTTTCCTTCTCGGATTAGTCTTCCTCGCCTTTGGTCTTGCCTCAGTGATGGTCCCTGCTTCTTCTAGAAACTTGTACTTCCTCTGCAGCCTCCCAGATTAGAAGAGATCCAGTCCTGCCTTCCTCCTGCCTGTGGAGGACAAGGGGGCTATTGGTAATAGGCCTAGCCTGGCATACATGGCCTGGCCTCACTCCCCACACCAGGCCTGTTAAGTGTGAAATTTAGAGCTGAGGCTCTGGGGTTCTCAATACCTAGAGCTAATACTCTTCTGCTCTCTATGCTTTTGCCTTGATCTATGTCACCGGCCACTGAGCAAGACAAATGCTGCTTACCTGCCTCTCCTGTTGTCCCCTCTCCAGATCAGTGCCCACATCATGGCTCCCCTAAAGGCCTCTGATTGCTACCACATACCCCTCAGCCACTAAACTTCTCCAATGTCAGGAGCTGGCTTCCCTCCCCATGAAACACTGCTTTGTCTCATCCTGGATTCTTAAATTATCTCACAGTGACAATCCCAGGCACTCAGGGTTGTAGGTTCCACTCTCCAGGAGCACAAGTGGGTCCCCTCAGAATTCCTTCAGCACAGAGTACTAGGACAAGGATCCTATGCCTTCTGGGGCATTGTCCATGCCCTGCTTCTTTCTCATGATTGTATGAATCTGTTTTTCAGGGCAATGTGATTGTTTGCAACTGCAACCACCTAAGCTGCCACCAGTTGCCATTGATGTGGCCTCAGTCTGCTGACCAGGTGAGAGGCCCCCAAGACCATCCCAAAAGAAAAGAGTGTCAAATAATTTTTCCTGTGATACTTGCTTTTTGTGGCTCAGAACCATGTCCCAGAAGGAGCTGAGGAAGAATTCCCAAGACATGAGACACAGTACTCATGAGTGTCCTAGAGTTGCCAAGAAGTCAATGGCTGGTCACTTTGACAATAGTTAACAGTAGTGTCAGAACAATGGTGGCCACATTTATTGGGCAGAAAAGGTATTTCCTCTGTGTGTGTGTGTGTGTGTGTGTGTGTGTGTGTGTGTGTTGTACCATGTGCATCTCCATGTATATGTAGCTATTCTTGCCTGTGTTTATGAATGAATGGAGGCCAGAAGTCAATAATGCATGTCTTCCTCAATTGTTCTGTTAATTTTTGAGATAGAGTCTCTTATTAAACCTGTAACTTGCTGTTTCTACTAGACTGCTGTGTCAGTGATCTCATGGAATGTGTCTGGTCCTTACTCAGCATTGGTCTAAGAACATATGCAGTTATGCCCAGCTGTTGGGTGGGTGCTGGTCTTGGTTTGTCCTAATATTGTGTCCTGGGCTGGAGCTCTCCAGTTTATCATCTGCATGACAGTGATGTTTGAGTTGGGTGTGAGTCCTGTCCTGAGACAAAAAGAGTGACATTTGCCTTCTTCAGTCCAAGATCCATGCCAGCTCTGGAGCTGGGAATGTGTTAGAGTACAAGGTCTCTAGAGTACAAGGAGGTAAATGGAGGATCCTGTGGATGTGTGTGTAAGATCTCTAGGATGGGATATAAAGTACGTTTACAGTACCAAAGAGAGCCAGGTGGTGGCTCACACATTTAATCCCAGCACTCAGGAGGCAGAGGCAGGAGGATCCCTCAGTACTAGGCCAACCTGGACTGCAGAGCAAGTTCCAGGACATCTAGGGCTACACAGCGTACCCTGTCTTCACAAACAAACAAACAACCCAAGCAAAACAAAAACTACAACAAAAAGGAATTTGTGAGTTGGAAGATACTGGCCTGAGGAAGCTTAGGCCACCAAGAAGTTTTCTCTAAGTAACTTCACATTACTTCTCCAGCCAGCCAGCCCTCATGCAGGCCAAACAATTCTTCAGTAGATAAGATTCAAGAATTATTTCACCCTTAAAGTGTCTGCTCATCCTGCAGTAAACACAACAGCATCCGGGGGAGGACAGAGAAAGAGTGGAAAGGGGCTTTCTGAAAAACACAGCCCAACCATCCCTGTGTGCATTCCATTGCTGGAGATCACTCCCATGGCCACACTGGGACACATTCCCTCATAGCCGAGCACCTTGCATCCCTTAGCAAAATCCACCTGCTGTTTTTAAGAGGGAAAATTATTTTGGGTTACTTAACAGCATTTGATTTTGCCAAAACCCTTAAGAGCTGAATTACACAGTCAGCAGATCATAGATAGATTTAGAAGTAGACCACCTGCCTGACTGGGAGTGAGTGATATGGAAGTCTTTTGTAAAAGGCCCGTAAAGGCTCTTTAGAAGGTCATCTGGGCACAAGGAGCTGGCAGAGGGACAAATAGGCAAACTTGGTGTGAATGAACTCTGTGTGGCTCAGGGCTTCCAGGTTGGATATGTGGAGAAGGGCAGGGGTCAATCCTAGGACTGTGCACACTGCAGATGAGCACAGAGTGAGACAGAGACTTCTGTGTTGAGAGGCAGGTGTATTGAGAACCACCTGTTTATCCTCCATCTGGCTTCCTTGCATCTGCTATGTGAGAAAACAGGGTCCTTCCCTTTGGATGGTTCAATATCCCTTAGTCTCGAATGCACCCCTATTTCCTGACCCAGAGCATGTGTGGCCCCCTGTACTTGTCCCAGACATTGCACATTAAAGTGTGGAATGACTTCAGTGAGCTAAAATCAAGTTGTTTCAGGAAGCCATCCTTGCTGAGGTTGTGGGAGAATCCATTTCCTTGTCCTTTATATCCTTTGTATTCTTTATATTCCATGGTGTCAGACCCTTTCTCTACCTCCAATGCCAGCAAGGCAGAGCCTTGCAGTAGCTCCCTGCCCATATCAGCCCTGGCATGTCTCCTGCTCCTCTTACACCTCTAGCAATCCTCCCCACCCCAAAATCCTTGATGGCTTTCACAGAAATCCTTTTGCTTGGTAGGGCACAAAAACAAAGCTTGTCAAAGCCTGAACCTGAGATCTCTCCTGGTCGCCACACCATTCAGACCTCTGCTCCCTGCCCCAGATCTGGAAGGAGAGTGAAAGTGGGAGGCTGGGACCCAGGAGAGAAGAGGGGGTCACCATAGCCTACCCTGTGGATCTGTGGTGCTTCCAGCCACCCAACCAACCAGCTTCAGGGCCTGGTTGTATTCCTATCTCATTGTTCTGTCTCTCCTCTTTCCTACAGGGGCAGTACACCAATGTTGACCTCATGAAGGCTCTCTGTGCTCAGGAAACCTGTGGCCCCAGGGTCAGCCTGCCGCCTAGCCAAGAGTATCTGCCTCTAGAGTCCTGCCCACAGGGCCACCACTTTCCAGGCATCTGCTCCAGGCTTCCATCGAGGTCACAGCTGCTCATCAGTCCTTCCTGGGTCCCCAGAGCCCGGCTGTCACTCCCACCTATGAAGTGAACCTCTCAGGTGCCACAGATCCAAGACTGAGAGGTCTTTGCTGATGTATCCAGTTGTATCAGGGTTAGCATTTTAATAAAAGAAACAATAGATTGGAATTATTGCTAATTAACAAATCTTTCCTCTGGGGAGATGCCCTACATCTTGATGTGTTCTTCTGCTACACCTGTCAGAACAGGGCTTGCTAATATCTTGTGACTAGACAAGGGTCACTTTGATTGCTGACAACTCTGTCTTTATCTGTCCCAAAAGGAAAAACATTTCTGTAAAACCCTCTTCCTCCCACTTTTTGAGTTACAAAGACTAGCTAATTCCTGTTCCTTCAATTTTTATACAGGAAAACTTTTGAATTTCTCATCTATTGAATCCTGTGACTATGGTCACTAGTTTTAGGCACTACTGTCTTAGATGAATACCAGACAGAGGTCAAACCACTTCAGAACCATGACGAATCTTTCCAGACCCTCCATGCCACCCCTAAGTCGAGCAGAGTTTAGAGGACTTTCTGGACATCTCTGGAGGAGAAAAATTTCTACTGTGTTCCTTGTCAGTATCATATTATGATCCATGAGATCTCTTCCTATGTGAAGTGCTCAACCAGCCAGCTTGCCTAACAGTGTCCACATTACTACCCAGCTGCTAGACACACGGGAACCCACAGAAATGGCTTGGATCTCAAGCTGGGTCATCATCTTCACTGAGGTTACCAGCCCTTCTGTCCACCCCAAGGTGTGGCTTGTTCTCACTGGACATCACAGCAGGCTTCCCAAAGAGCCACCTGTGCTTGCTTAGCCATCAGTGAGTCGCAGTCTGCCAGACCTCTCAGATGTTTGTCCCTGGGCTAAGCAGATGATGGCATTCTCTTTTGGAGGGAAGATTGTTGGCGTAGCTTGGGAGCTGAAGTCTAGGACCATAATTCTCTAGAAGAAGAAAGGCGAGAGACGTACACCAGGTATATAAGAAGGAGCCCAGACCAGAAATCCTCTATCCTGTTACCAACAGATGCCTTGGGCATGCTAGTGTACTCTGCCTGGGACACCAAGTGCCTGGGATGTTGGGAGGATGCTGACACAGGTTAGCACTCAGAGGCCAGCCAGGACTTCCTTAAGCCTCTATTGGCTGCACTACTTCTGTGGTTCAGCTTGCACAGGAATGAAGGAATCCAGGATACTCTTTCAAATAGAGCCCCCATTCCTTCCCTTGGGAGCCTGGAAGGACCTGAGGGTCCGTTCAACCTACTCAGCTCTACACCTAGACAGATTAGGCTCCTCTTAGGACAAGAAGCAACCAAATGTTCAGGGAAGCAAAGGCAAGAGTCTCTGAACAGCAGGGAGAAGCCATTACAGCACTTTCAATCTCTGCACAGGCCCTGCTGGGCTGCCCACATGGCTGAGAAGGCAGACTCTGGTAGCCAGTGGCCTGAGCAGTGTCAAGGGCTCAGATGGGCCCAAGATACTGGTACAGCACCCAGAAGCCATACAGTGGCCTCCTTCCCTTCAGGAAGTAAGTCAGCCACAGAGGGCTGTGTTCTGGGTTCTGATCACAATGGCCTGGTCTGTTGTTCTGCACAAACAGGTGGTCGCTGAGCTTTTGTGATAGTACAGCGACTTAGGAGAGAACTCTTGCTTCATGAGTTCCTTAAGGCTGGACAGGGCAGGCATTTGCTTGTCTAGGACAAAAAGGAGGTCTTGGTGATCTGACATGGCTTCTGCTCTGTGTATATTGGCATCATTTCTGCTTGAGACCTTTGAAATGATGGAAACTTCTGGAGTGGGCTATAAACACCCACTGCTTTTGTTCTTATGTAACATATATGTTTCCTATAAAATCACTTCTTTCCTGTTTCTTGAGATTTATTTTTCTATCTTTTCTAATATAGCTACAATTCAGAAAAGACTGGAGGCAGTGGGTTGTCCAGTGAAGGCTACGAGGGCTCTGTGAAACTGCACCTCAGGAGGCTTTTCTGGGGGTTAAGGGAAACTGATTTGAGAGCAGACAGGGGTCCTTGAGCATCCCAGGCAGGATGTACATCCCCTAGCTTTTACCACAGCCAGGGCCAGGAAGTTCAAGAACCTAGATGCTGGAGTGCTCTGTGCAACAGCTTGGAGGTGACAGAAGACATCCATACACAGCAGGACTGAGCCTGGAGCTTCTGGTTGTCTGTCAGTCTCTGGAGCCAGAGGGCAATGAGCAAGAGGCCAGTAGAGTGGAGTTCTGGGACCTAGTTCCCTGGTGCCTCCTCAGTGTAGAGAGGCCAGGGGGTGGGGACCCTGTGGGCTAGAGACCTGAAGGCCCCGCCCCCTGAGGCGGAGCCTGGACTCCATGGGGCTCTGAAGCTAAGTTCAGCAGTGTAGACAGGCTAGCCAGCAGCTGGCACATGCTTTCCTGGCTGATGCTGATGCTGATGCTGATGCTGATGCTGATGCTGCAGAGATCCCAGGTGAGATGTCCCTGAGGTTCTACTGGACAGGCTCAAGAGCAAGAGAAGGAGGAATGCTTCTCCTTCCCTTGGTCATTTCCCAGGCAGAATTCTAAAGTCCTCCTGAGCTCTGAGGGCAGGATTTCCCTCCCTTCTGTGGATACTTCCTATATTTTTCTATAGCCCAGTCTGAGAAGGTTTATCCTCTTGTCTCTTCCTGTGTTTTGCCTCTGGCTTTCTTTGTTCTGTAAGTTTCTGTATTTGGGATTCCTCCTCGCACTCCAGGTTTTTTTTTTTTTTTTTCTAAAACTTCCTCTTTTTTTTTTTTTTTTAATTCCTGCTGCACCCACTTCTTTTCTGCACACAATTCTGTCTGGTTTTTCAACTTCTTTGCATGTTGATCCAGTTTGAATCCAAACATGAACACAGGAAGACGAGTCAGACACAGGTGTGGTGCCTCACAACTCTATGACGAACTCTGGGAAAGCTGCCGGAAGTTTATATGGGATTGAGATAGCGTGGGCTAATACTGAGTTCCAGGACCACATAGGTTACAAAATGACACAGTTTTAATATACGATGAGGATGGGATGGTTGGGGGAAAATCAGAGACACTTAGCATGTTAGAAGAGTGGCCCATAAGCCTGGCACTGGTGTGGCACTCAAGGGAAGATGCAGGTGTGGAAGAGGATTAAAATAAAGAAATTTTGGGACGGGAGTATATATCTAACGACTGTACAAACTGGAAGGTTCCGTGGAACTGATAAGAATATATTTGAGCTGTGTATTTAGCTGATGGCCAGATTCAAGACCCAGCTGACGATCTGGGAGGAAGATAACATAAGGAATAATTCAAGACCAACACACTGCATGGGTTATCACAGGTGTTGAGGTACCATGAATACAACATGAATTTAGGATGCAGGGTGTGTGAGCCAAGTGCCCATTTCCTAGAGTAGAAAGAGATGGAGGATTCAGGAGGGACAAGGCTCTCTAAAGGACACTTATTTGTGTAAGGGCCACAGTTCCAATTTGTCAGCCCATAGAGCAGGGAGAGCTGACCAGATGGCCCAGAGTTGATGGATGCCACCAATGGATCCACTGTTCAGGCAGGAAGTGCATGTTTGGCAGTGAGCTTTGTGACTTCGGGAAGCACTGTGGACTTAGGGTGATGCAGGTCACCATTACAGGCATCTTCAGACCCTCAGTGGTTTAAAAAGACATCTCCAGAAAGGAAAATGTAGTTGCAACCATTAGAAATGTAGTACAAAATCAGCTAAATCTTGAGCCAAATGCCTGCCTTTATCTGGTCCCTGGAATTGGGAGAGCGGCTTAGGGGACAAATGTGAGCTTTGGGTGCCATCTTGTGGAACAATTTAGCATTAACATTGGCTACCTCACTTCATCCCCCAGGTCTGGGATTGAGGCCTGGGCACAGAATGAGGGAGGTGTGAGGTTGCCAAGGCAGGATACCCCTAGGCAGGGATGTGGGATGGACGGGACATTCACAGTCCACTCTATCTCCAGGGCACAGGCTCCCCAGATGTACCCTGTATCCACCTCATAAACTGAGCCCTGTGCTCCCTCTTTACTGGCAAGTTCTACCAGGCCAATGGCTCTCTGGGATCACTTCCTGAGATGCTCAACTCACCCTAAGACAACAGCAAAAAAGGGAAGACAGTTACAAGAATTTAGTCACAAGAGATGGCATCTCTGAGTTTGAGGCTCCTGACTTAATTCCAGGCACCAGAGCTGAACTTTGACATTCTAGTCTTGGTGTCCTTGTCTTCCTCAAACTGTCACAGGGATCCCAATTCCAGGGTCACTAATCCCTCATTTGTCCAAGGGACAGTAGGCCTCCTTTCACAATCTTGCTCCTGGCCTGAGGGGCTGGAACCCAAGCCACTGTGACATCATTTATGTTTGTCATGCCACAGGAAGCTGAAGAGCACAGCTTGGTCTGAGATGTCTAGTCAGGGTACCGGTCTGAGTTCCCCCTTCAAGGCAGCCCAGGAAACACCACAGCAGCCATGCTGGTGATACCACAGAACCAAGTTTGTTTTCCCTTTGTAATTGAATTATTTCATACAGTATGTTTTTATCAGTTTTCCCCTCCCCCAATTTTTACCAGGTCCTTTCCACATATTCACCCAACTTTTTTTTAATCTTTCTCTCATATCTCTCTCTCTCAACACTCAAAACAAAAACCTAAGAAACACAAACCCAACCACAAATACAGAAATAAACAAGTAAAAGGACAATAAGATTTTTTTAAAAAATACAAAAATACTTTTGTGTGTTTTGTGTTTGGCAATTCCTCCTGGACATGTAGACTTGCCCAAAGTGTGTTAATACACATAATGAGACTCCATGGCGAAAAGCAATTTTTTTTTCCTCTGCCAGTGGTTATCAATCATCTTAGTTGGAGAAGGGAGCCTGTGCTTACTTCCTCCATTTAGTTATGGGACCCTTTCTGGCTTGAATGTGTGCAGGTCTCCTTTGTTCTGCCAGAGTCTCTGTGAGTCCTTAAGTTCCTGGTTTATTGAACATAATTGGACGTCTCTGTCTCCCCACTGCCTGC